GGATGAAGGCTGCAGCTTCTCGCGACCCGATCGACATAGCCAGATATAAGTCTTGCAGGAACAAATTGAGACACCTAACGAGGCAGCTCCGGGCTAACTTCGAAACACAACTGGTGGCAGACTTAAAAACAAATGCAAAGGCTTTCTGGAAATACAGCAATAGCAGGCTTAAGACTAAACCGAGGATCGGTGACCTGAGAAATTCTGATGGACTCATGGTTAGTGATGCTACTCTTAAGGCCACGGCTCTAAATGAGTTCTTTGCCTCAGTCTTCCAGAACGAGGATGTGAATGATGTACCAAGGCTCGTTGTTAGGAACCAGACGTGCAGCCTCTCTGATATTGACATTTCCCCGGTGACAGTGGAACTTAAGCTCAGAAAGCTCAAGGTATCAAGTTCTCCTGGGCCTGACGAGATTCATCCGAGAGTCCTCAACGAAGCGTGCTGCTCTCTTTCGGCACCACTCTCCTACCTGTTTCGCAGGTCACTTGACACTGGGTGTATTCCAGAAGACTGGAAGCTTGCACGCGTGGTCCCTATCCACAAAAAGGGAAGCAGGGTTGACCCGTGCAACTACCGTCCGGTCAGTCTGACATCAGTACTCTGCAAAACACTGGAATCTATCATCCGCGACCAGCTGCTGAAGTTCTTGACAGAGAACAACCTGTTGTCCACTCATCAGCATGGCTCTCGTCCGGGCAGATCGTGCAGCACCCAACTACTAGAAGCATTGGAAGATTGGAGTAGGGCCATCGAACAAAGCAACCCAGTGGACGTCATCTACCTTGATTTCCAGAAGGCCTTCGATTCCGTGCCACACCACAGACTTCTCAGTAAGCTCCAGAGCTACGGGGTGTCCGGCAAACTACTGGCTTGGATCCAGGCGTTCCTCACAAACAGAAAGCAGCAGGTGGTCATTGACGGATGTCCCTCGAACTGGACGGAGGTCGCTAGCGGCGTACCCCAGGGCTCCGTGCTGGGACCCTTGCTCTTTCTGGTATATGTGAATGACCTGCCAGACGTGGTCCACTGCACCGTGAAATTGTTTGCCGACGACGCGAAGCTGTACACTTGCACTCGTCTCCCTAGCGATTCGGCCGCCTTACAAACGGATCTTACGTCCTTGTCACGATGGTCTGATTTATGGATGATGCCATTCAACCAGAAGAAGTGTACAGTGTTGCATCTAGGAACAAGAAACTGTGGATCTGCTTACACACTGGGCAACACATCCCTAGCCAGCACACGCCTTGAAAAGGATCTGGGAGTCCATGTGGACGCCGAATTGAAGTTCCGTGAACATGCTGCATCAGCAGCAGCAAAGGCAACTCAGCTCCTCGCAGTAATCAGACGGTCATTCTCCCTCATTAATGAGATCACCCTGCCTCTTCTCTTCAAGACTCTGGTTCGTCCGCACCTAGAATATGGTAACCTCGTGTGGGGACCGTTTAACAGAGCGGACCAGCGAGAGCGACTGATTGAGAGAGTGCAGCGCAGGGCAACCAGACTGGTTGAGAACATCCGTCACGAACCCTACGTGCAGCGGCTCCGAATGCTGAAGATGCCCTCACTCTACTACAGTAGGCGGAACTATGGTCAAGCGTACCCATTTTCGGGAACGCATTTTCGTTCCCATGTTTGGGAACGATAAACCCAAATATGGGAACGCCATGTAGGCATTATTTAAAACAAGAAAAAGAACCGTTAAATGACGTCCAAAAAATATAAAACGATCGTGAACCGCCTGATAGTTGTCTCAATATTGTTGGGAAAGAGTTTGATATTGTAAGGCCCATCGTAGTTTCAAATCGTTCCCCTATTTCTAAAGCAGTCCATCACCCGGGCCGCGAGCCCAAATTTGGGAACGCTCTCGTATACTGGCGCTGCAAGCGTTCCTTATTATGGGAACGGCGTACCCAAAATTGGGAACGATTTCACCGACGCCTTTCAGGGGCTCTTTTCATTAACAAGCATCACGTCCAACGCCGCAAATTATTGTTAATGCAACAATCATCAGATGACCTTTCCGGCAAGACCGTTGCATGTTTCGCCCGGTCTTCTGCGCTTTTATTCCCGTCGATCTCGCAGCGGGCACGCCCCCCTCTGCAGGATTACGTAATCCACAACGCTCAGCGATGTTCAACAAGGTCTTCCATACCTATATCCACCGTCCGCGCCGAGGGTGGAGACATGTCAAGCACCTGTCTGCTAATCACCGAGAGTTGACGAGCACAAGAAGTATCCAAAAATGGGAACGCTGAATATGTTACACCCTCAAAACACCTAGTCCCAATGAAAATCTAGTTTTTTCCTTTCTTAATGAGTGTAGTGGCAAAAGGCCTGGTAGGATGGGCACGAGGAACGATCGAAATCAGCATAAAAATTATAAATAAGCCACACAGAGCGACCTATATCAGAGAAATTCCCTCCAAACGATCATGCTTAGAAACGCCGAAGACAAAAACCACGCTCATGACGCTGCTTATAAAACAACGCCAAACAGCTAGCATCCAAATAAAATATGTCTTTCAGGGCTGATAAAATACAGCTGAATGATTTTAAACCACTGAAACTGAGTTTACAACAGTAGTTCGGTAAAATCACTGACGTTCCACGCGGTCGATCGCCCCGACACCAAAAGTCAACAATATTACCTCGGGACTGTCCGCGTGTTCGCTTGCATATGTCAGCATCTGGTGTCGCTAGAATGAAACTTCATAACCAGGCGAAAATTATTATACTTGACCTCAAAATGTAAAAAATGCTTCATTTTCCTTAAAATTGCATGTTAAATGTCGTATAACCCATATTTCCACCATTCTGTCATTTTTAAAAAATCATTAAAAATATCATTCCACGGTCAATTTCCTTGTTCCACGGTCAGATTAAAGATAACTTTATGGAGATTTAGTAGATACTTAAATCAGCGTGCACTTTTTTGAGACGTGATGCACTTTTGAGTTTTAGTGGGCGAACGGCCGAAAAATTGCCTTCCGTTCTCATAAATGGGAACGCCCGTTCCCATATTTGGGAACTCCGTTCCCAAAAATGGGAACGTTCCTATATTTGGGTACTCATGACCATAGTTCCGCCTACTGACTACAGGCGACGTAGAGGAGACATGATATTCATGTACCAGCTGTTCCACGGGGGGCTCGATACCGACCCTGAAACGTTCTTCACGCTGGCCGATGGAGTTACTCGTGGGCATCCATACAAAGTCAGGAAATGTCCAGCAACCTCGAGAGTGTGACGATCCTCGTTCGCTCTACGAGTCGTGAACGACTGGAACCGACTCCCGTCTGAGGTGGTCTGCGCCCCATCGCTCAACTGCTTCAAGGCGAGGCTGGATGCACACTGGTCCCACTTACGATACACCATTCCCGATTCCGATTGATCCTGGACAAGCCCAATACCAGGAGCTCGATGAGATCGGGTACGACAGGCTCTAAGCCTAAAAATCCCGATACTGTAAGGTAAGGTAAGGTAAGGTAAGGTAATGTTTCCAAAAAGGGGAGGTTCTGAAAATTTATAACGGTTAATAAGGATGGCATATACAAAAAATTAACAACTTCACCACTTCAGACCACTCACCCCCACACCAACACACGTGCTATCCGCAATGAAATGCACAGAAGTGAGAAACGATAAAATCATCTGTTCCACATTGAATGTCGCAAAAGCGTCAACTGCTAATCACTACGCAACTCGCCTCCACAAACAGAAAATGCGTCTAAAACGCGCGTGTTGCTAGGCAACGTGGACATTATCTGCTTTCGCTGAACATAACCGCTAGAAATGGTTATAAATTATTACTGACACTGAGAAGTACATACAAAAGCAACAAAAGCAAGGCCGTCTATCACTATGATCAGTAGAAATGCAATATTCGGTTGACATTTTGACAGTCACCCATTCAAATTAGATTGTGTTTTACGGTCGTCAAGTTAGATGTAAGTGAATCCTAATCTATAATCTAAGATTCGGAATCAGGTGAGCCCCTACGATTTGGACCAAACTTGGTCAGTGGATAGTACGTAACGTCCTGATTACAATGCACCCAAAATCTAAGCTCGGCCCGCCATATTTACAAAGTTACGGATGTTTGAATTTCAAGGTCATTCGGGAGAGCCCCTACGATTTCCGTCAAAATTTGTGTACGGGCACTCTAGATGCTCCTCATTACGAATACCACAAAATTTAAGCTCGGCCCGCCATATTTACGAAGTTACGGAGGTTTGAATTTCAAGGTCATTTGGGTGAGCCCCTGCGATTTCCGTCAAAATTGGTATACGGACATATTACATCCTCTTCATTACAAATATCATAAAAGTTAAGCTCGGCCCGCCATATTTTTCAAGTTACGGATTCACAAAGTTACGGAATTTCAAGGTCATTCGGAGAGCCCCTCCGATTTTCGTCAAAATTTGTATGCGGACACATTACATGCTCCTCATTACGAATATCGTAAAAACTAAGCTCGGCCCGCACTATTTCAAAAGTTATTGACGTTTGAAACTCACTGAAATTCAAACATCTCTAACTTTTGAAATAGTGCGGGCCGAGCTTAGCTTTTACGATATTCGTAATGAGGAGCATGTAATGTGTCCGCATACAAATTTTGACGAAAATCGGAGGGGCTCTCCGAATGACCTTGAAATTCCGTAACTTTGTAACTCCGTAACTTGAAAAATATGGCGGGCCGAGCTTAACTTTTATGATATTTGTAATGAGGAGGATGTAATATGTCCGTATACCAATTTTGATGGAAATCGCAGGGGCTCACCCAAATGACCTTGAAATTCAAACCTCCGTAACTTTGTAAATATGGCGGGCCGAGCTTAAATTTTGTGATATTCGTAATGAGGAGCATCTAGAGTGCCCGTACACAAATTTTGACGGAAATCGTAGGGGCTCTCCCGAATGACCTTGAAATTCAAACATCCGTAACTTCGTAAATATGGCGGGCCGAGCTTAGATTTTGGGTGCATCGTAATCAGGACGTTATGTACTATCCACTGACCAAGTTTGGTCCAAATCGTAGGGGCTCACCTGATTCCGAATCTTAGATTATAGATTAGGATTCACTTACATCTAACTTGACGACCGTAAGTGTCTATGATACTATTTTGAGGATCATGTTCATGAAACGATATAATAAATACATTTACTGTATGCCTGGCCTATTCAAATACATTAGCCAGAGGGGTGTGGTAATAACTGGTGTAAGCAAATTGACCACGGTCAAAAATGCATTACCAGAATGCACTTAAGCGAACGTTTTGGGATGGTCTCGTTCCTAAGTCGGCTAAGAGCTTCGGTCCAGAAAATAAATTTATCGTTGGCATACAGTAAAATACATACCAAACTCGGCCGGTGATAAATTTTCAAGACCTCAGTCCTTACTGATTTTTTAACTCGGCCTTCGGCCTCGTTCAAAAATCCAGTAAGGACCTCGGTCTTGAAAATTTATTTACACCGGCCTCGTTCAGTATTATATAATACCTACCAACCAATCTGAAACTTGTTATTCATATTGGTGACTTCAAACTTGATTGTGTTTGATTACAATTAGGTAGGTAGGAACCTACTTATGTACCTACCTAGGTATCTACCCATAAAAGTATGTTAACTGTGATTCTTTCTCGCAGGGCAAAAGGCTGCTGATTGAATGACAACAGAACTGAGTCTGACTGAGAACAGAACAATCAACAACTACCTACATGTCAGAGTTTTGCAGTAATATTGATATGTAGATAGGTACCTACCTACTATTTGTCAACCTGACATGGCAGAGTTAAATCCACTAAGCATAATATTAGTTGAAAATGGAAGCAAGGGAGACAGGCTGCTGTTTCGATACCCTTATACATGCAGCGAACCAACCAAATCTACCACCAAAAGTAAGTACCAGTATAGCGCCTTTTGGGGCGACTAACGGAGCGAGCGAGCGGGTGAGTCTTGCACGTGCGAAATTTCGAGGGGGTACCTCCAACTGACTTGTGCAGGGCACCCTACTGACTGGTCTCTAGCGATGTGCCAAATTTGGGCACAATCGGCCCAGCCGTTCTCGAGATCTGGAAGCGGCACCCTGCACGTGCGCACGTGCAAAATGGGTCCCAACTGACTTGTGCACGGCACCCTAGTAACCGGTCCCTAACTGTGTACCAAATTTGAGCGCAATCGGTCGAGCCGTTCTCGAGATCTGGAAACGACCCCTGCACGTGCGCACGTGCAGCGGCACCCCAACTCTGGCACATGGATATGCAGTGCCTAGTGGGTGCCTACCTACATGCCAACTTTCAGCGCAATCGGCCAAGTAGTTACCGAAATATTGCAACAATTACAAAAGTGACACCTCTTCGTTTTGCACGTGGCACGTGCATAAGGGGTCACCCACATGCATCGGGAATAGTCCAATACTTGGTAGAAGGAATGAAGCTACCCTACAAAAATTACCGCATGTAAATCGGTCAAGTGGTTGCTGAGATATAAGCCTCGCAAAAGCGTCCGCACGGCCGGCCGGCCGGCCGGCCGGCCGCTCATACTCAGAAATTTCCGTTATTCTACGTAAGACTCCGCTCGCTTCGCTCGCTCCGTAATCACTCAGTTTACGAGTTGAAGGTATCACTCAATTTTAGTTTACTCATCTTCATGGTTCATGACTGTGGGGTCAGGTTCACCAAAGCTAAGCCAGTTCCAGGAATTTTAACCCAAAAGCAAAATGATCTTAACTCTCAAGTAATTAGGGATCTTAAGGGTGTCTACCATAACATTAAACATAAAGTACCATGGTTAAATATTATGTATATGTTTACAAATGGTCTTGCTTCAGTGACTATTGTAGATATAACTAGTAGGATGAATATCAATAGTGAGGAGTAACACCTCTCAGCACCCCTGGAATGTGTCACTTGGTTGTGGCTAGGTTGTGCCCTGTGGCTAGTTTGAAATCACCAGAGATCCATATGGCCCCTTAGAGACTGATTAGGGCCCTCAGAGTGGAGCTCAGAAGTCTTTGTCTGGCTCCTAGCTCATGCTCACCTCATGTGTCTGGCCTTCATACACATGGAGCCTTTTTTGGGCAAGTGAGTGACAAGACTAGATGAATGTGAGACCCTCCAGACTTGAGTGACTCACATGTGCTGATAGAAACCCTTAGATGCTAATGTGGGCCTCCAGCTGACCCAGAAAGGTCTGTATGGCCCTTCAGAGGCTGTGCCTCAGGTCGCATGGTCAAGGCTGAATCGTGGGGCCTTCAGAGTTCAGAGGATTGTGTGGGCCCTCGGAAGTCGGTTTGGGTAAATGGCAGCCACCATGGGGTCTTAAAGGTCGATGTGGGCCCCTACTTAAGAGACTAGATCACCAGGGGCCTGCATGAGGCCACATGGACCCTCGAAAGAGACTGGCATGGAACCTTTTCCCCGTCCACTTGGTCCTGTGACAGCCCTAGAGAGATCCACAACAAAATGTTACCGGCTCCTGAAACCTTGTCGAATCCCTTGAAGTCTGGGAATTGGACACATGTGACGGCATAGGCAGGACTGTTGACAGTGCCGCTGCCGGTACTTGAGGCTGAGTCGGGGCTGCCCTCGACCAGCTAGAGCGGGCAGAATGACTGGCGATCGATTAGGCGACCGGCCCGCAGACCCAGACACGACGAGCCGCAGCCCGGCAACTTGATGTCCTGCCTGGCTCAGGTGCTTCAGTGCCTCAGTCGCCTACCGCATTCCGGAAACCTATCGATAGATAAGCAGTACGGGCTCTGGAGCAGGGTGAATGGTCCGTCGACGGCAGAGAGCGGCGGCTTAGGAAGCACTGGCTTCGCATGAAGATTAACCCTCGCCGGCACAGGGGGGGGGGGGGGGGGTTGATGCAACCCCCCTAAGGTTTTTCGCGAATAACTCACGTAAAAAGCGGCCGATCGCGACGAAACTTGCAGTACCCTCGCATTGATCAATTTTACACGTTCCCTGAAAATTTCATGACCCTGACCCCAATGACCTTTGACCTGTGACCTCTTTTCCGTGGACCATGTTTGGCCGAAATCGCGATTCGGCGTATGTCGGCTCGCATTAGCCGCGCGTTTGCAAGCTTTTCGTGGTTTCAAACGTTCAAACATGTGATTTGATGTTGCTCCCATACATTAGGGTGGGTGTCAACTGTCAAAGTCACCTGAAGGTCAGGTCAGGTCATTGACCTTTGGTGACCTTGGGTGACCTCGGTTCACTTTTCCAGTTTTACATGTTTCTAGGCTAGTTTTTGGAGCTGAATTCGAATTTAGCAACCATTTGAACATTTACGAAGTAGTTTTGGTGCCTTCGTAGCATGTTACGAAGCTGTCAGAGGCGGTTGACACGTATTACGAATACCCGTCACAACCCCTCCCGGTTGACCTGACCTGACCTGACCCGACCTGGTCTAAATGCTTAAAAACATCATCTCTGATCAAAACTAGCACGATATTCGTGATCAGCACCCCGTAAAACCACACAGCAGCCACACTTTACGACTTTCTAACAGGTCCCGATTTTCCCGGTTTTCGGGTCATTGACCTGACCTGGAAGGTCACCCGATGACCTAGGACCTTAAAATTGGGTATCATCGGCTTCCTCTCGTGACGGGCAACACGCTCGTTTTTTCCGCGAAGCTCTAGCTCGATCAGGGGCCAAACGCGAGGGGGGGGGGGGTCGTACCACCCCCCCCCCTTGTGCCGTCGAAGGACGCAAAATGGCCTGTGCCGGCGAGGGTTAAAGGTGGACAGCATCAGGAGAGTTTTGGGCTCTTGACAGAAGCTCTGGTTGGTCAGCTGAAGAATGCAATATCATCGTTAGTGCTACGTTTCGGCCCGTCAGTTATCAGTTAGAGGCCAACATATTACATAATGGCCATCTCGTGTTTGGGTTTGATAGGCTCTGGCATAGGTGAGGCATCACTGTGCGAGCGCGTAATTACCTGAGACGTCGGACGAAAAACTTCCTGTCGGGCGGGACAAGTCCCGATAGTTATGAATTATGATCTGTCCGGTGAGCAGACTAGCGTCCTGCAGCTGTGAGACATTTCTTTCATTTCCTGACCCATTCTGTGGTCGCCCTTGTCGCCCTCCAGAACTATTGACTTGAAATAGAGCCGGCCGTGGCATTGCATGCAATCTGTTAACCCGTCCTTCCTTTCAACTTCATTCATTTCATCGAACGTTTGTATCGTTTTGTGTCGTGGTCGTGTGCGCTTAGCGTTGAAGCTCATAGTCTGTTACCTTTCTCAGACGGGGTGGCGACCGTTGTATTGGAACCACTTGTCTCAACAGTCACTGCTTGATACAGACTGTTGCTCGCTGCTGGGGACTACTGCTGTTTTTGTTACTGTAATTTATTGCGTCTTATTTGTTGCGTAGATAATTACTAACATTTTCCCACAGGCTACCGTCAGAACCCGTATGCGCTGGATGTGACCGAAGACCTCTTTGCGATACGGACTCGTCATTCCTCGAACATAAGCAACCACCGGCTGGTCGGATTCACGGACAAGGTAATGAAGAGTAACATTTATGCTGCTATAAATTGGGAGTGGTGTCCTTATATGTAGACAAATATTCTTTTCATTTGATGGTCACTCTTCCGAACGCCACTAGTGCGAGGTGTTTAGGCAGTCTACTCACTGAAGTACCTATGTGGCTGGGTTTCAGCCGTCGGTAGTTTGTAGTGAACAGGAATTGTGGACAGCTACCTATGATCGCTCTCGCGATCCCCCTGACCAGTTATTACCGGCTTCGTGCCCGTCAGGTGCTGTCGAACCTGTGCGCCGTCCAGTCGCGCCTGGTCGGTCAGAAGTTCGAGGTGAAGGTGAACGACGTGCGGTTCGTCGGACACCCGATCTCCATCCAGGCCGACCACCGGCGAACCTCCAACGACGAGAACAAGTCCACAATCCACCTGTTCCACATCGTGTTCGCGCTCTGGGTGAGAACAGCCTCGGGACGGTTGCTGCAACACTTGGTCTTCCAACACTCCAACGACTATACTCGTAGTTGGCCTGAACCGAAATTGCGTAATTCTGTGTAAACCCTGCATCGGCCTCCGTATTTCTCCTTCTAAGACTTGATATACAGAGTTGTCTGAGATCCCTCTGCCCTCCTTTGCCAGAAGTCTGACCCCGCTCCCATGTGCCGCAGGCCAAGGCGAACCACTCCGTGGTGAACTGCTACCACGACCTGAGTCGGCGCGTCGGCATCGCCGTCTACCACGAGGAGAAGCGGTGCCGCTACATCACCAAACAGGCCAAAAAGATGCTAGGTGGGCGGCGCTCCCGATAGGTCTGTAAATTACACGGCTTTGTTGTACTCGAATTGCTTACTTCTGATCAATCAACAGCTTTGAGGACCGGACTAGGATGCCCAAAAGTACGACTGTTAGCTAAAATTCCGCTGCTCACTTCCGTATATCTGCCGTGAGTTATCCGTTTGACGAGTTTGCCCGCCCGCCTCCCCTACCGCCCGAGCAGTGTCTGACGTGGCGCCCTCTCCCTCTCCGACAGCCGTGCACGACGACCACGCCTCCTCGCAGCACGACTCGCCCCGGGAGTCGCCCTTCGCCCAGGTGCTGGCCACCAGTCAGTTGGCGCGCGAACTGAAGGCCGTCTATGATGGGTACGGCACCTCCGCCGATGGGGCTGGTGTGAGGCATTGGGGCTGGGGCAGTTAGGGGCAGATTGGGGATGGATGGTACTTGACGGTCGGTGTAAGCAGTTTGAATGTTTAACTTTCGATATGTTGATGCAGGGTGAATGAAGACAGAAAATAACAGGTTAAAGGGACCCTCCCACCTTCAAAAAAGTTAATGAATTGGCATGAAAGTGATGTCGCTCGGTTCAGAAAGAGCAAAAACGAATATCTACCAAATTTCATCGAAAAATATTTACCGGTTTTCAAGATATTAGACTTTTACTTTTGTTTACTTTTCGGGATCTCCGCTGTTCCTAGCGACTTTATTTGAAAGTGCGGCATTTGTTGCGCGCAAAGCAGTATATACCACCGCGTGCTACCAAACGTTTTAGTAAAAGATTTAAAATCGTTAGATCTCCGCTGACGTCACAAATTCTAAGGGGGCATACCAATGCATTAGCCCCTTAGAATCCGAAAACTGCAAGTTTGAAATTCGATATCTCCGAATTAAAGCATTTTTCGATGTTGAGAGTGCCCAAACCGGTATTTTCAGGCCATGGCCACCAATTTGGCTATCTCAACTCAAATCTAATGTTAAGGTGGGAGGGTCCCTTTAACATAGACTTGATCGTGATATTCAACCAGGCTTCGACTTGTGTCTATTATTTTGTCTAGCTTTGGTTCCTACAGCTATTGTAATGCATTGTCTATGACCAATGTAGAAATTGAGCGACTGTCTGCCCGGTGTCCCTAGGCTGGTACAGACGGGCACCGTGCACCTGAGCATCGGCGGCTGGATCGACGTCAGCTTCTGTCTGCCGCAGAAGATTCACAAACTGCACCTGGAGGAGCGCACAGTGGAGGTGAGAGCGCGTAGCGCACAGTGGAGGTGAGCGAGCGTTTCACATCGCACAGGACACTGTGAATGGTCCGCTAGGGCGTGAATTCACATATATAATATATACACTAGCTTGATGTGCGATACTATATTCAGAGCTTTACCCAGTGCGTGTTAGAGGCGAGTGCTTAGGCTGAGGATCGTCATTCAAACAGTCTAGAGCTACCCAAGCTCCCCATCAGGCCGAAGGCGAATGACATACCACGTCCGACTCCCCGACTGCCGCTGACCCACATATGACCTGCAGCCTTTGTCCTCTGTCCTGCAGCCGGAGGACATCTACCGTTGCGTGCGTCTGCTGCAGCCGTTCCACACGCTGCTGCTGCTGGAGGAGCAGCGCCAGCTAGTGGCCTCGCTCAGCCCCGACTCGTCGCCCACGCTGCGCCGGCTGGTGCGCGTCGCCAACCCGGTGCGCAGTCTGCAGCACCTGGCCGCCGACGCCGACCTCACGCTGAGGCACGTGTTCGAGGTGAGGCTGCCTCTCCGGCGGGGCGGGGGCTTCAGCTCGACTTCCTAGCATAATTAACGTAATGTGCTTGCCCTTTTATTGATGGTCGTTGTTAAAACGCGTCCCAAGCGTGTGATACCCGATGCTCCGTGTGGTTTCAGCTAACCAGCCAGCTGGTGTACTGGGCCAAGGCGACCATTATCTACCCGCTGTGTGAAAAGAACATCTACGTCATATCGCCACACGCACCCACCAAACTGTGAGTTGGCTGATACTTGTGTAATGGAGCTTCTATTTTTCCGATGGAATTGATGTGCATTTTTATCGTAGCTAATGCCTGGTAGGCCAGTGTTCGAGTCGTGTGCATTTTTATCGTAGCTAGTGCCGGCTGGTAGGCCAGTGTTCGAGTCGTTCACCTTTACATTTTATAAATAATGGAGCTGCCGAGCAATCATTTCATGTCTAGAAATGTTAGAAGATATGAATGAAGGTTCATATCAGCACTCGGCAGCCTGCTGAAGGTTCATCGTCCACCGACTTCATTGTAACTGTCACACTATTGATGTGGGCTGCCCGCTTCTCGGTGGGCCCGTTTTCTCTTATCTTGTGGTATGAAAGTAATGCCTCTAGACGTATTCGTGATGTGTTACTAAGTCCTCGGACCCGTTTATGGCAGGAACTCGAAGCTGGCGAGCGACTTTGCGGAGGAGTTTGGCCAGAACCTGCACCAGGTGTTGTCCGAGTACTCGATGCCGTCGACGCTGAGTCAGAAGGTGACGCCGTTCTCTGCGCACCACCAGCTGCCCACCAAGGTGCAGGTGCTCGTGTGGCTGCTGCAGCGCCGGCTGCTCATGCAGCTCCACTGCTACGTGTTCTTCACGCCGACCATGCGGCTGCCGAGCGGCGGGCCGGCGCCGGGCAGCCGCCAGTCGACCCCCGACAGCCTGTCGGCCGCCGCCAACACCGCCTCCGACACCAGCTCCGGTCAGTGGCGTGATGTCTGCTGCATGCTGTCGAATAACGGGCTGCTGGAACGAGCGAATATGCTGCCGTTTATACAGCGGGGTCTAACTCAACGAATAATCTCAGCAAATTTGATCGATTTGAGGATTCAACTGTTTAACGCCATAGCCTGATCAGATATGTGTGCTTTCTAAGAACTGTATAAATTTGTCATTGTTTCCACTGAGTTAGTTTCTCGATGTCGTCTGTGACCTGACCCGTGCCCTTTGTGCCCAGTGGCGGACGGCGCGCCGCCCGTGAGCGCCCCCTCCCTGGACCAGCTGGCGGAGGCGCCGCTGGCCTCGCTCACCGACCCGGAGCGAGAGGCCGTCCTCAAGGTGCCCGCCGCCAAGGACCCCGACAAACTGCGGCTCTTCACTAGGTCCGTACTGTGTCTGGGTGGTTTGTTCAAGTGTGCTGTTAAAAGGGGGTTTCATGACCGTGAACGACGCAGTTCGCAGGGCTGTGATGTGTTTTGCGGCTGCTGGTTAGCCAATCACCCACACGTCTGTGATGTCCTCTCGCTATGGTGACGTCCCGCTTGACATACCGTTTTCCGTTTTCCACCAGGCTGCTGCAATACTTTAACGGGATGCACCACCTGGAGGAGATAATGTACCGGGAGAACCTGCGCCGGTGGCAGATTCACCAGGTACTGGAGGAGTTTGGTGACGTGCTCACCACGTGTCAGCGCTGCGACGAGATGTCTGTCCACCACGACAGCCGCTGCGACTGATAGCACGGACGGCGCTCGGCGCGTCAGTCTCAGCGGCCTCGTCGTAATGGCTGTGGCAGTGACGGCTTGTCGCTGCTCGGTACCGGTGGTGAGAGTTCCACGTGGCACGGCGATCGTCGACCGTAACTGCAGCGCATAGGGACAGCTCAACGTGCTAGCGAGCGTCGTACGGTCGTTGTTGGAGCTCTCGACGCCTTGTGCAGGACAATGTCCGTATTCAATGGGGAGATCGCTCAGGTCCGGAAAGTCGCTTACGGGGTAAACTTTAGGATTGTGATGTAGCATTGAAGGTGCATGTGCTTTTGTTCCTGATGTATCGATCCCTCCCACTGGTACCGAGGGTGTTGAGACAGAGTGTTAACGGCGCCGCAATATTGAATTGGATGATCATGCTGAGTAACTTGTATGTTAACGATGACACATGGCTCGTGATAATTATGACATTTTATACATATGTTTCTTGCACCGCGTCGATGCTCCTCGCTCCTTTCGCTCGTACAGGACCTCAGATACGGTTGTTTTGCCGTTGGGTTCGGCTCGGTCTCGGGTGATGGTGATTTGGCGACTGACGTAAAGCAATCGGGGATGCGCATGGGGTTATATCGATAAACCGGGGCAACATAGATTCAATGTGCTGGTTCACGACCCAGGTTCACTTTGATCGTTTGAAAATCAGTATGAAAATTAGTCGATTTCATCGCCAATTCAATCAGTAGGTACCAATTGGGTAAGTGGGTATGTACCTACTGAAAATTCCAGGAAGTCCATCCACGTAAGCTTCCGCGCTTGCATCCACGTTGCGCAACCATATACCCTGGCGCAACCACCCGCAACGCCCGCCGCGCAAACTTGGCGCAAACGGCGATTGTTTTTATTCACTCCGGAAAAGTTTTTGTCTTATGACGTATCTTCGAACATCCAATGCTGGATGAATTAAACAGAGTTGTTGATCATAAGAGTTATTTCTTTAATTATTTAGGCAGTATGTTATAATTTTTTCGAGTTAAATAACGACAATGTTGTTGAAACATTTTACTTTTTTTTCGCATTTACAGTAAAAACCAAGGTAGGTAAACACTACCGTAGCAAATGCATGAAATTGGTCTAGTGACGTCATTTATTCACCTGACTTCAAAATTCATTTTAGCTTTGATGAATTTCTTTATTCCGCATCTCCGCATGCTTGTTGAAGTCAGGGGGGTGACACGGCTATTCGCGCAATGTATTAATTTATGGGCCGCGCGGGGCCTCGCTATGACGCGGCTGGAGGCAACTGCTCAGCGCGCTAGGATACTTCTGGCGGGGCGGGGCGCTGAACGGTGTGCAATGAATGGGTTATGGTCGGGCAGACAGAGATGAGGTATTGAATTTGAATTGACATCAGCAATCGGGTGGGGAAGGAGAACGTTTCTAATCGAGCTTGGGATGGGGAAAGCCAAAAATATCGCGATCGGCTCATAGCTCAGGGCCGGGTGCCGTACCAACTACCATGTGTTGTATATTTAGGCGGGCAGACAGAGATGAGTTATTGGATTTAAATTCACCTTACCATCGGTTTCTGGTGGGGTTTGAAGACGTTTTTAGTCAAGCTCGGAGTGGGGCAACCCACTGGCGGATCCAGGGGAAGGCATTTGGGGCAAATGTCTTCCCCCACATTGGCAGCGCCCGAAATCGCTTTTCGAGAATCAAAGAAAACTTCACAACTTTTCTGAGGAAATGTTGGTTAATCACACCGCACAGCAGTGCGCAAGGAATCGAAATCAGAATTTTTTAAATTAATTCCGAGAAACCTTTTTGGGGTAAGCCCCCGCAGTGTCCAAGACCGCTTCCTGGATCCGCCAGTTGTGAATAAGTCACGGTCGATACCGAGCTTCGGCGGGACCAGGCGCTGTATACGTTGTTCTTTCAATGAAGAGGTGGACAGACACCTAGCCCCACATCCTACTGCTATGCCCGTGCTTCTGTGGGTGAAGCACTAAAGCATCACGGAATCCCACAGGACCTGCGAGTCGACGAGGTGGCCGCTTTGGCCGCCGGGTACTGCAGCTCCCTGGAGAAATAGACCGGCTTGCCGAGCCAGCTTGCCTAAAAATAGACGGTCAGATTCGGCCTGGGTCCTTACGACCCCTCTAGATTCGCCAGAGACGGGATCGGATCGCCGTTATTGCACCCGTCTTAGTGTCTTTAATACTATGACAGCTTCGACCACGGACGTCGGACGGGGTGATCGTACTCCACGAATGTACGCACCATCCAGGCCTAGGATGCATCGAGGTTTAAAAGAATGCAGTCTGTAGATCAATCAACATAACAATGGTGGTATGCAACCACATTAAAATATCTCCCCGGCTCCCGCAACGTTCCAACGCCCCTCCGTTATGCATTCGCCTTGTGTGTCCGCCGAGCCGGCTTGCCTCCAATGACGTCATCGGCCGGCCGGCGGCGTTCAAGGTCAAACGGCTGGTGTCCTTACCTGGAGTTCTATAGCCTTGGTTGAAGTTGTCCTGCAAGCCTCCTTTGTTGCCTGTGGCCGGCGGATAAGTTAGTATTTTCACCGCTTTTGAGCTGGTTACTTGAGAAATCCGCAAATCAGTGGGCACCTAGTGACGGGCGACAGCACCTTACCTATTGAGCTATAAATTCCTTGCATTTTTGAAGTGATAACGGTACAAAGTCTAAGCATTTTCATCTGTGAAGAATCAAAGCTCTTATTGACCAGGTAAGTCATGAGATTATTACTATTCTTACTGTTCTGCTTTGCAGCCTTTTGCCATGTTAATACGCTTGGTTGATAAGGCTTGGTCGCATCTCATTCTCAGTCCGGAGTCATCCATCAATCATTTTCAACCTCAACCTGTTTTACCGAAAAGTCGTTTTCTGAGATCTGTGGGGAGGGGAGCTATTACCATGCTTTTGAAGCTAGTGTACACCTGAACTTGTGTCTTCATGGATATTATTATGCATCATGACAGAGTTCAAGTTGTGTTGTGCCTAGATTGTGCTGTGTGCATGTGAAAACATTGTAAATTCAAGTGTGATGTGTTTGTGCGGTATGCCTACTGGGAAAATGGAATTTCGAGGTTTTTATGATATCACATTGATATTTTTACCAACTGCTTGAAAAATAATGAAATGGTTTAAAATTTGGACATCACAAAGCACGATTGCCTTTAGGATAATCATAGAGTTGCTGGCATGATGTTATAAACACCTAGTTTGAAAAACTAGTAAATGTGAAGATAAAGTCAATTAGATAAACATAATCTAACCTGACCCAACGTTACCTACTAACCTACTAAAACAACCTACCAACTTACAACCTACCAACCTACAACCTACCAGCCAACAACCTACCAACCTACAACCTACCAACCTACAGCCTACCAACCTACAACCTACCAACCTACCAACCTACAACCTACCAACCTACAACCTACCAACCCACATCCTACCAACCTACAACATACCACTTGGACATCATCTTCACATATACCAAAACTTGAAGAGTTAAAGAGTTAAACCCATTTTGAGAGGGTCCATTTTAAAACCAGCAGTGACAAACTGCAGGTGCCCATTCTGGGCTGTCAGCCTTAGCTATGACGCCTATGACCTTTCTGAAAAGTATTGGCAAGCATGACTGCCCTGGCACCTGGCAGTTGGCAGCCCTTACTAGTGTTACTACCTATTTCAAAGGCATAGATAAATCAAACTCCTACGGCCTACATCTGAAGTGTACCTGATTGCAAGTTATGTATAGGCATCTAATTCAAAACTCTATAGTAGGCATGTTTTTGTATGAAGTGTTTGATTCTATTCAGTGGCATTAAATTCAGTCAGACAATACATAACTATTCATTATCCTCACAGTCAGATACAATCTGCTAGTGACAGTGCCTGGGAAGGATTACATGCATAATCAGTGCCTATACTTACAGTTCTGGCTAGTTGTCAGTCACCAGCTAACCCTGGCTGGGCTAATAGTGTGGCTTCCATTACCAAGTTCGCAAAGCTGGTTGTACAATAGCCTCTGCAATTATAATAGTGACCTTTTGAATAGGACACCATATAATTGGAACAATACTGATAACTCAAGCAATAGGATTAATTAAATCTTTTAGAAAGAGGGAAAGTTAATGGTTATCAATATTTTTCCCCAAATGAAAGGAAGTCCTTAGTTTTGTGAGATACCTATATTAATCAGCTATCACCTTAAAACATGATAAGTAATCATGAAATTAATGTGGTGGTTGCCATGCATGATCCATGGAGCAGGAGCCACGTGGGGCCTCGGAGTGGCACCGGCAGTGCCACGCCTCTTCTTGCCTTGCAGAATGGCGGTGCGTACGCAATTCGAGGGTAACAACGAGATTGGCGTGTTCTCTAACCTCACGAACGCCTACTGCCTGGTGGGGATCGGCGGCTCGGAGAACTTTTACAGTCTGTTCGAGTCGGAGCTGGCCGACCAGATCCCCGTGGTGCACGCCTCCATCGCCGGCTGCCGCATCGTCGGCAACCTGAGCGTGGGCAACCGGCACGGCCTGCTGGTGCCCAGCACCACCACCGACCAGGAGCTGCAGCACCTGCGCAACTCGCTGCCCGACTCGGTGCAGATTCGCCGCGTCGAGGAGCGGCTCTCGGCGCTCGGCAACGTGATCGTCTGCAACGACTACGTGGCGCTGGTGCACCCGGACCTGGACCGCGAGACAGAGGACATCCTGGCCGACACGCTCAAGGTGGAGGTGTTCCGGCACACGCTGGCCGACAACCTGCTGGTGGGCTCGTACAGCTGCCTCAGTAACCAGGGCGGCCTGGTGCATCCCAAGACCACCAGCCAGGACCTGGACGAGCTGTCGTCGCTGCTGCAGGTGCCGCTGGTGGCCGGCACCGTGAACCGCGGCTCGGACGTGCTCGGCGCCGGCCTGGTCGTCAACGACTGGTGCGCGTTCGCCGGCCTGGACACCACCTCCACCGAGCTGAACGTCATCGAGAGCATCTTCAAGCTGCGCGATGACGCCGCGGCGCCCACCATGAGCGGCATGCGCGACACCCTCATCGAGAGCATATCGTAATGGGGCGAGGTGCGGGCGCGGGAGGGGCCAGAGGCGGCGCGGCGGGCCGCGTGAGTCCGTCCACCGCTGGGGACCGGACGGTCTGTCTGTGCACATGTTGACGTGTTGAGGGACCGGTTTGTCGGTGGGATGTCGCACGGTAACATCTGTCGTCTGCGCGGTGTTGCGGGCTGTACGCGGGTGTCCGTTCGGGAAACGATATCCGATTTTGATCTGCGATGGTCGCTACGTGATGTCGGGCGTGGCATTTTTATATTTTTCGGAATTGATGGAGCGTGCTCGAAGTGTTGAGCTATGCTTCTTCAAGTACTGTTATCGCTAACAAATATACATGAAACGCATTTCCGTTGATTTTAGGCTGAATAAATGCGACCTCTGCAAGCTCTGCTGCTGTGTTTGTT